ATTGATTGTTTGAAATTCAGTTATGAATGCCTAGAACAACAATGCCAGGAGTGTTTTTTATGTTGTGCATTGTATCCTGAAGATTATGAAATCAGAAAGGAGGAGTTAATTGAGTATTGGATTGAGGAGGGGCTTATATATAAAGAAGGGAAAACTAGGGAGGCAATGAATTGGAAGGGTCATGATATACTTGATAAGCTAGTTGACAACTGCTTGTTGCAATCGGTTAAAAAAATAGACAAAGACGAAGAAGAAGAAGAATGTGTGAGTATGCATGATCTTCTTCGAGAAATGGCGCTGGAAATCAGTCCTCAATTCTTGGTGAAAGCCAGCATAGCCTTGGAGAAGTTACCAGAGGAGCATGAATGGAGAGAAAATCTTTTGAAGGTTTCTTTAATGAGGAATCACATAACAGAAATTCCTTCAAGCATGCCGTCTCCAAAGTGTCCTGTGCTCACAACCTTGTTGTTGTCCAATAATAAGATTTCAACAATTCCAGAAGCCTTTTTTAAGCATATGCTTGGACTCAAGATCCTTGATCTTTCCTGCAATCATCAGCTATGTAGGCTGCCGAGTTCTATCTCCAAATTGGAGAAGCTTACTACATTGTTGCTATGTGAATGTCAGTCCTTAAGAGAGGTACCAGCATTATCCAACCTTGTAGGGTTAAAAAAGTTGGACCTTTCCTACACATCAATTGAAGAACTACCGCAAGGCCTCAACATGTTAACAAATCTAAAATATCTTGGTCTTGGTGGAAGATTATTTGAAACACTTGATGAACCGCTACAAAATCTCTCCAAACTTCAGCATTTACTACTAGTTGCCAATTACTATGCCGAAACAGAAGTTAAATGGGAGATGATTGGAATTTGGGGGAAGCTTCAAAACCTTGAGAAGCTGAAGTTTGGTTTTTTGTATAACTTGAATATGGTGTTTGGGGAAGTAGGAGCAATTGCTGAGTCAGCATCGTTACCAGCTGGCACATTTTCCTCCCTTCAAGATATTAGAGTTTGGGGATGTCATAAAATAAAGAAGTTATTCTCGGTTAGGTGGCTGGGATATCTCCAAAAACTACAGACTGTTGAGGTTGATTATTGTGGGCAACTGGAGGAGATAATAGGGTCTGAATCTAAAGAAGGAGAAAAAGTCACTCTACCCAACTTAGAAAGGTTGAAATTGAAAGCATTGCCCCAATTGAAGACCATCTATAGCGGTTCTTTGATTTGTGATTCCATCAAGAAGATTGCAATTTTTTATTGTAAAAATATAGAGAGTGTTTTTTGGTCCGGGTTCAACCCACTTCCAAATCTTGAATATCTAGTCCTTTCTAATTTAAAGAATTTGAAATCCGTGTTTGATGAAGAAGGTTTTGGTTTATCGCCACGTGTACCTCCCACAAGCTTTTTCTCTCTTAAAGAAATTAGGGTTGCATATTGTGATCAATTAAAGAAGGTATTCTCATCTGGATGGTTGCTCTGCTTCTTCCAATCTCTAGAGATTATTAAGGTTTCAAGGTGTTCACAAATGGAGGAGCTGATATCGTCATCGGCACATGAAGAAGAAAAAGTCACTCTACCCAAGTTAGAAAGGTTGGAATTGACAAGTTTGCCCTTATTGAAGAGCATCTGCAGCAGCTCCAGTGTGTTGATTTGTGATTCCATCCAGAGTCTGATGATTTTCAATTGTAAGAACCTAAAGAGGATGCCTCTGAATTTTCCCTTGCTTGATAATGCCCAATCATCTCATCCTCCTTCCCTCAAAGAAATTGTGGTATTCCCAGAAGAATCGTGGGAATCATTGGAATGGGACCATCCCAATGCAAAAGACATCCTTTTCCCCCTTCTATAAATTTTGGTGGTAGGGCGCACCGCAAATGTAAGCCTTTTAATCTTCAATTTTCCATTTCTGATTCAATTCAGTATGAGTTTTCCATTCTTAATAAATCTCTCTTTCTCTCATCTATTCTTTTCTCCCCCATTGGCAGCAATTGGGATTCGGCTCGGTAACCACAAGAAAGTTGGAAGAAATCACATATGCACTAGTTGCTGCTGCTATTGGGTTTTCAATGTAATATAATCTTTGTTTTTCTTTTGCTGTGTGTGTTGTGTGTTTAAATATGTCCAATTTTAAGTGGAAAACTGGAAATGTTTGTTTCTTTATTATCTGTGTGATGTTGTCTTTGAAACTGTGTGGGAAAAAGACTTGAAACTGTATTTGCTTTTCTTGTAATATGTATTTCAATTTATTGCATTTGCATATCTCCTCAAATTTCATTCAGCAACATTATCATCATCAACAAAAACCGAGACTTACTTTCATCAACAATAGCGGCACACTCTGTTACTTTATATTCTCAGAATTGCCCAAGGATTAGCATTCAGGTCAGAGGACACTTCTCTTCTCTTTTTGCCTTTTTTTTGTCTCTTTTTTTTTTTTTGTGCATCATCAACATTAAACTGTATTTGCCTTTTTTTTCATCAACATTAGGTTCACTTATTTAAAAATTTTAGTAGTGTAACTATGAATCATGCCATTACCTATTGCGTACTACCTTCTGTTTACCTTTGGGGATTTAGCAAAAATCATGTTGCGCTAGTTGCATGTGTATTGAGCCAACTATAGGGAGAAATTTTAGAGCTTTCTTTGTCCTTTTTAAGTTTTCCTTAATTGTTACAGTTTTGCCATTTATTTCTGGCCCTTGCTGCCCTACCTCAAATTTGATTCCTTTTTTCAATAGTCTTTATATTTGCTCTTAAAGATGTCTGCTTTGGCGATGGAAAGATTGACCAAATTTTAGTAGTTTCAGTACCCTTGCTAGGTATTTGCTAACTATGCTTAAAAGACTGTTATGCTGATGTAGTATTTTATTTGTGGTATTGATGCAATATAAGATGTAAGAGCTTGAGAACTTTCTTTGTCCTTTTCCTTAATTGTTTTGGTTTTGCCATTCATTTTCAGTCCTTGCTTCCCAGCCTATTATTTGACACCTAGTTTCAAATTCGATGGTCTCCATATGTGCCCTTAAAGATGTCTGCTCTGGCCATGGACAGATTGACTCGATTTCTGAAGGTGACTTCTTAGTTGGTTACAGTTGAGTACTCTCTTGCTGTTTTTAT